TATGTTCCACTGGATGACTTGGCATGGGCTAGTTGAGGGCCTATGTTCTACTGGATGACTTGGCATGGGCTAGTTGAGGGCCTATGTTCTACTGGATGACTTGGCATGGGCTAGTTGAGGGCCTATGTTCCACTGGATGACTTGGCATGGGACAGTTGAGGGCCTATGTTCCACTGGATGACTTGGCATGGGCTAGTTGAGGGCCTATGTTCCACTGGATGACTTGGCATGGGCTAGTTGAGGGCCTATGTTCCACTAGATGACTTGGCATGGGCTAGTTGAGGGCCTATGTTTTACTGGATGACTTGGCATGGGCTAGTTGAGGGCCTATGTTCCACTAGATGACTTGGCATGGGCTAGTTGAGGGCCTATGTTCTACTGGATGACTTGGCATGGGCTAGTTGAGGGCCTATGTTCCACTGGATGACTTGGCATGGGTCAGTTGAGGGCCTATGTTCTACTGGATGACTTGGCATGGGTCAGTTGAGGGCCTATGTTCTACTGGATGACTTGGCATGGGCTAGTTGAGGGCCTATGTTCCACTGGATGACTTGGCATGGGTCAGTTGAGGGCCTATGTTCTACTGGATGACTTGGCATGAGTCAGTTGAGGGCCTATGTTCCACTGGATGACTTGGCATGAGTCAGTTGAGGGCCTATGTTCTACTGGATGACTTGGCATGGGCTAGTTGAGGGCCTATGTTCCACTGGATGACTCAGCATGGGCTAGTTGAGGGCCTATGTTCTACTGGATGACTTGGCATGGGCTAGTTGAGGGCCTATGTTCTACTGGATGACTTGGCATGGGCTAGTTGAGGGCCTATGTTCTACTGGATGACTTGGCATGGGCTAGTTGAGGACCTATGTTCCACTGGATGACTTGGCATGGGCTAGTTGAGGGCCTATGTTCTACTGGATGACTTGGCATGGGCTAGTTGAGGGCCTATGTTCTACTGGATGACTCAGCATGGGCTAGTTGAGGGCCTATGTTCTACTGGATGACTCAGCATGGGCTAGTTGAGGGCCTATGTTCCACTGGATGACTTGGCATGGGCTAGTTGAGGGCCTATGTTTTACTGGATGACTTGGCATGGGCTAGTTAAGGGCCTATGTTCTACTGGATGACTTGGCATGGGCTAGTTGAGGGCCTATGTTCCACTGGATGACTCAGCATGGGCTAGTTGAGGGCCTATGTTCCACTGGATGACTTGGCATGGGCTAGTTGAGGGCCTATGTTCTACTGGATGACTCGGCATGGGCTAGTTGAGGGCCTATGTTCTACTGGATGACTCAGCATGGGCTAGTTGAGGGCCTATGTTCCACTGGATGACTTGGCATGGGCTAGTTGAGGGCCTATATTCTACTGGATGACTTGGCATGGGCTAGTTGAGGGCCTATGTTCTACTGGATGACTTGGCATGGGCTAGTTGAGGGCCTACGTTCCACTGGATGACTTGGCATGGGCTAGTTGAGGGCCTATGTTCTACTGGATGACTTGGCATGGGCTAGTTGAGGGCCTATGTTCCACTGGATGACTTGGCATGGGCTAGTTGAGGGCCTATGTTCTACTGGATGACTTGGCATGGGCTAGTTGAGGGCCTATGTTCTACTGGATGACTTGGCATGGGCTAGTTGAGGGCCATGTTCTACTGGATGACTTGGCATGGGCTAGTTGAGGGCCTATGTTCTACTGGATGACTTGGCATGGGCTAGTTGAGGGCCTATGTTCCACTGGATGACTTGGCATGGGCTAGTTGAGGGCCTATGTTCTACTGGATGACTTGGCATGGGCTAGTTGAGGGCCTATGTTCCACTGGATGACTCAGCATGGGTCAGTTGAGGGCCTATGTTCCACTAAATGACGGCATGGGCTAGTTGAGGGCCTATGTTCCACTGGATGACTTGGCATGGGCTAGTTGAGGGCCTATGTTCCACTGGATGACTTGGCATGGGCTAGTTGAGGGCCTATGCTCCACTGGATGACTTGGCATGGGCTAGTTGAGGGCCATGTTCCACTGGATGACTTGGCATGGGCTAGTTGAGGGCCTATGTTCCACTGGACGACTTGGCATGGGTCAGTTGAGGGCCTATTTTCCATTATCAGATAAAAGGCAGAAGAAAGAGATAAAGCCAGAGGGTGCCCAAAAAGAAGGACCAAGGAAAGGGCCCTTTTCCCCGCCTTTAGGCGTATTGGGCATATAGGGCTTGACCTACATTTTTATAGACCAATCCGCACTTGATGGGTGATGTGGTCAGCATCATGCCGACCACCTTTACTTCCCAGGACTGTCCCCTGTACCCACTTAAAGCTGGGTCAACCTGAGGTTATTTTTCTAAAAAAATGTCTGGCTCCGCCAGCACCTGAATATATGACCTTCCAATCTGCAAGCAAGAGTCTAGCGTCTACAACACACACACAAATAAGGACTAAAGACATTGTAAATTCATGTGAAATAATAGCCAGTGCTGAACCATTAATTTTTCCTCTACATGACCCGACAGCAACAGCGAAAGATGATGATGCCCACTCATCAGTAACAGCGAAAGATGATGATGCCCACTCATCAGTAACAGCGAAAGATGATGATGCCCACTCATCAGTAACAGCGAAAGATGATGATGCCCACTTATCAGTAACAGCGAAAGATGATGATGCCCACTTATCAGTAACAGCGAAAGATGATGATGCCCACTTATCAGTAACAGCGAAAGATGATGATGCCCACTCATCAGTAACAGCGAAAGATGATGATGCCCACTCATCAGTAACAGCGAAAGATGATGATGCCCACTCATCAGTAACAGCGAAAGATGATGATGCCCACTCATCAGCAACAGCGAAAGATGATGATGCCCACTCATCAGCAACAAAGAAAGATGATGATGCCCACTCATCAGCAACAGCATCAATTCTGTCGACATCTTTTTATGGCACAATATATTCTTGTCATTGAGAGTTAGAAAAGGAATTCTTGCTTGCTACATACATCCAATTTTAACATATGGCTGTGAATCCTGGACAATCGCTAGGCAGGCCAAACAATTTCTGGAAGCCTCGGAGATGTGGTTTTACAGAAGAATGCTTAGAATACCTTGGACAGCCAAAAAGAGCAACTAAGAGGTTTTGAAAGAGGTGGGAGCCCGAAGACAACTTATCACAGACATCAGAAGGAGACATCATTTTTCGGCCATGTTATGAGAAGAGAGAAAACAGAACATGTTGTGACCACTGGAAAGATCTGTGGAAGGAGGGATAGAGGAAGACAACAAGAGAAGATTCTTGACACTCTTGTTGCAAGGCATGGAGGTGTGTCGGCACACAAACTAATACATGATGCAAGAGATCGTAGATTATGGAGAGGCATGATGGCCCACGCCAGTCGGCAAGGCACCTGATAATGTTGATTATGGCACAATTATGTTGTCTTCCCAAACGGACAGATGTTCTGTCCAATACCCGAGTTCTCGGCATCCGCCTAGGAAATTCTGAATTTGATCTCATCTCAGAAAAAACAAGCAGTTACACAGCTCCTTACCTATACAGAACTAATAAAACAACAGAATAATTCCCACTTACTGCATAACAAAAAACACTGCTACTGTATGCAAGAAACGCTGCAACTGTTTTGATCATACCCAGAAACATTTGTAAACCAGACAACGGTGTCCTTGCTTTGTACATCTACAACACTCAAAGAATTACAGTGTAGATGTAACACCACCTAATCTCATCTGTAAGCGATTAACTGCAGGACATTATAAAATTGCCTCCACGTAACCTCACATATGATATTCACTTCATTGATCCCATTTGTATCTTTGCTGTCATCATACGTCACATACAAGGGAGTGGGAGCTATGTTATCACCAATGACTGATGTGGAGAAGTTGTAGCTTTTGGCTCCTAGTACAGTGAATCTCAATTGTTTTGTAGACGACTGTCAGTTTTTAACTGACCAACTCCTGCATTAGCTCCCAGTGCTCCCAGATGCATGTCCATATTTCCATGAGAGACGACTGCCTTGGAGGCGGATAGCACATGTAGCCACTTAACTCTTTGAGTCCCAGGGGGTTTAGCATCACAGGCCCAGGGGGTAGTAAAGAGAGTCATAAAATCGGCACATCCTGCGTTCATTGGGCTTCTAGGTAGGAACATGTGAACGTATGATGCGTTCCTTGGGACTTAAAGAGTTAAACTATACTGATTTATCTGAAAATCTTCTTACTTTCCAGCTATAACTGTCAAACTGTGAACCTAGTACCGAATCACCTTGTTTGATAAAACAGTCAACAAAGTGTGAACCTACTGCCTATTTTTTACTACTGGATCAAAGTCAACAAACATGAAAATCTAGTGCTTACTTCACATGTTTGATAAAACAGTTAACTTACATGTAAATAAACCTCATCCTTATTTCCAATATTTGATAGATGTCAACACACATGTGAACCTACTGCATATTTTTTATTACTGAAGTAAACACACATGAAAATCTATTGCCTACTTCTACTGTTTGATAAAAACAGTAAACTTGCAGGTAGACCTCATGCCTACTTCCACTGTCTGATAATAGTAAACATACGTTTGAAGTAAACCTTATTGCCTACTTCTACTGTTTGATAAAAACAGTAAACTTGCAGGTAGACCTCATGCCTACTTCCACTGTCTGATAATATAAAACATACGTGTGAAGTAAACCTTATTGCCTACTTCTACTGTTTGATAAAAACAGTAAACTTGCAGGTAGACCTCATGCCTACATCCACTGTCTGATAACAGTGAACACACATGTAATCCTATTGTTTAACTCATATCTAAAATAATATCTACAAGTGTTCCTACGGTTGATTTCTATTGTGAAATGTAATACATTTGTGAACCTAGTGCCTACCCCTGTTGTCAAAAATAATTTGTATGCAAATCTAGTGCTCCTATTCTCAATCTGTATTCCACAGATGAACAACAAACTAGAACTGTTTGTGAATAACTACTGATGAAACCTAGTGCCGACTCCTATTGTCAGAATAATGTGATGAAGTTGATGACGATGACAATGTTGCTGCCTTACTGCTCTTGCTCTTCCCATTTGAGCTGTGATGATGATGATGTCTGTGTTGTGACGACGATGATGATGAAGACGATGATGATGAAGAAGAAACCTGTACAGGCTGATGATGAGGCCTCGGCATCAACGGGGGTGGTGGGGGCGGATGATCCTCAGAAACGAGGGCGTTCTCAGTGATAACTGTCTGTGACTGTGAAGGTTGCCACTGATTAGAGTCATACTGTGGGGCTGCCGGGTGGTGGTGGAGGTGGAGGTGGATGTTCGTTGGTAATGGTGGTGGTGGCGGCAAAGATGATGGCACCACCCCCTGGTTAACAGCCCAGGTCTGCGACTGAGACAGTGCAGGATTAGCATGTGAAGTTGAAGATGGCTGCTGCTGCTGCAGGTGTGGCTGGTAAGGTGTCGGTGGTGGGTGACTGGACACCGGCCCTTGGGCCCCAGCACTGCTAGAAAATCTAGGCACATGAAGGTCTCTGCCACCACTTCCCAGTGGTGATGGCAGGGTGGACATTGTAGTGGATGAAATCCCGGACTGCTGCTGGTGGTAGATATAGTAGGAACCAGGCCCTCCATTCACCACAGAACCTTGTATCCCTGAGGAAACAGAAATGTGTTCTTTATGAACAAGTGTAGTAATAACATATGGTGCTATATACATATGGCAGATCGCGGCCTTCGAAGTTCTGGATCAATTCCACTAATGATACTCCTCAATGCCACTGTCTCAAGTCATCCAACATAATTTCTCTTGGTCTGCCTCTGCCTCTTCCACCAGTGATCTTTCCAGTCGTCATGATATTTTCCAGTGCTCCTTTTCTCAACACATGACCAAAAATAATGTTTGTCTCCTTCTCATTGTTGTATATAACGTTTAACTTTCATTAGCCATTTCCAAGCAATCATTGTTAGTTATTATGGCAGTCCTAGGTATGTACTGAAGATATGTCAGTTAACGATTGTGTGTATTCTTCCTTCTACTTGTGGTATTGTAGATTTATATAATATGTTGATAAAGACTCTCTAGCTGCAACATTCACCTATCGTTTGTGTTTGTGATAGTGTAAAGCCGAGTGGTTCTACTTTAGTTTGATATCTTTTAATATTATTATTTCCAAAGGTCTGCTATGGACCTTACTTTTTAATTAGTCGCATTAAAAAAGTATAGTAAATAAATATAACAATCGTTTAAAAAAAAAGGATTGCATTCAGGTTTTTTTTTTTTTTTTGGGTAAACGATTTAATGGACCTCTCTTAAGTCTGTTCAGGGGACCACCAAACAGGAATAATTGCTTTAGAGTAACGAATTATACCTAGAGCCTCATAGCATTCGGAATATTCCCATAAGTTTCATACCCATCTTCAGCAGAAAGCATACAATACCAATTCCGATAGTACCAGTAACAGTCTGATGGTATGTCCGTCCCACCAGCCCCAGTCAGTCTGATGGTATGCCCGTCTTCCCAGTCAAAGTCTGATGGTATGTCGGTCTTCCTAGTCACAGTCTGACTGTATGTCCGTCTCACCAGCCCCAGTCACAGTGTGATGGTATGTCCATCTTCCCAGTCACAGTCTGATGGTATGTCCGTCTTCCCAGTCACAGTCTGATGGTATGTCCGTTTCACCAGCCCCGAGTGACAGTCTGATGGTATGTCCGTCTTCCCAGTCACAGTCTGATGGTATGTCCGTCTTCCCAGTCACAGTCTGATGGTATGTCCGTCTTCCCAGTCACAGTCTGACTGTAGGTCCGTCTCACCAGTCCCAGTCACAGTCTGATGGTATGTCCGTCTTCCCAGTAGTCTGATGGTAGGTCCGTCTCACCAGCCCCAGTCACAGTCTGATGGTATGTCCGTCTTCCCAGTCACAGTCTGACTGTATGTCCATCTCACCAGCCCCAGTCACAGTCTGATGGTATGTCCGTCTTCCCAGTCATAGTCTGATGGTATGTCCGTCTTCCCAGTCATAGTCTGATGGTATGTCCGTCTTCCCAGTCACAGTCTGATGGTATGTCCGTCTTCCCAGTCATAGTCTGATGGTATGTCTGTCTTCCCAGTCATAGTCTGATGGTATGTCCGTCTTCCCAGTCATAGTCTGATGGTATGTCCGTCTTCCCAGTCACAGTCTGATAGTATGTCCTTCTCACCCCTGCCCTGAGTGTTGAGCGTCGGCCATATCCTCTGGTCACTACTTGTTGCACTATCCTCTCCTGACCATGATGATGTTTTTGTGCCATTGCACTGTTTAGTCACTCCTGAATGGCCCTTATGACATCCAGCTTGTGATGCATCAGTTCACCACCAGGTGGTGCAGAACCAGCCAGTCTATCTGTCTGTTCATTTCCCAACACACTGGCATACCCTGGAGATAATATCTGGGCGTTAACTACCCAGGATTTCTATAACGATGCTTGCCACTCTGCATGGAGTATAACTGTTTCCCCCTTTCTCAACATGCTCTGTGAATCAGATACAATTACAACATGTGTGTGCTGCTGGTTCTCAAGCTGCAGAAGGTTGTAGTGACTGTCTCCACCTCCAATCTCCAACTAGATGTGGTTTCATATGCTACGCTTTGTACTAAACAACGTCCATTCACTTTTGCTATGAACCCCAATGTTTTTCATCTGCCTATCTTAGTGTGAGGATACCAAGTCGATGTATGCAGGGATTAGTCTGGCACACACACAATACCATGGCAGTAGAAACCACACCAGCAAATATCCTACCATGAAATCCTCCAGTCTGTGGGTGTAATGGTGTAGCGTAGCCTGCAGCTGGAGCGGGTGGCCGAAATGATGATCCAGCAGTTGGTGGTGGTGGTGGTGGCGGTGGAGGAGGAGGAGGGGGGGAGGACTGTGTCATCTACACCACTGGAGGAGGCAACCTCTGATTCCTCACCTGAAAAAGATTTTAAAAAAACATTTCATGACAACAAAAATTACAATGAGATGCTGGGACAAAAAGACACAATCTAACAAGAAACGTGGTTGTTTCTATTTAAGAAAGAGGGGGGAATCTATGTATAATGTCCCGATAAGCAAACTGACATGTTTGCATTGGCACTAATCAGTATAGAAGAAACAAGATAGGACACATTTTGCTGACATTTGTTCAGATGACAATCTATGCTATACTGTGCCAAAAGGAGAGCACTGAAATCACAGCCCACAACGATGACTATCAAGACCCGCATAAGCTAACCCAACCAGGCCCTGGACCAGATTTTTCAGGAAATTCTTAACCTGATGCTATACCGCTGTCCTAATTTTCAGTAATTTGCGTAGTACGTGAAAAAGATGAGTCACAGACTAAAAATAACTAGCCAATCGTAATCAGGCCTCGTGGACAGTCTTCCCAGATGTCAGCCTGCACGTGTTTGAATTAAATTTGTGTTGCTTTACGTGAAAAAAATTCTGAAAATTCAATGAAACGAGCGGCTGATGAACCAAGCCCTTCAACAGGAAAGTAAAGTAGGTCTAGGCTTTTCACAGTCCAACAGGTGATCGATACTTTGGTTGATTCAGACTCTGTGGAGTCATAATTTCATGAAGAATACGTTTCCTGACAGTCAGTAGGAGCTCGAGTGATGAGGAGAATCTGGAAAATTATAAATCTAGAAATAGCTTGAATGTAGGAAAAGGGCGGCGTGTCCCTCAAACATCAACATCTAGTGTTCACTTTGTGAAACAAGGCTGATCCTCCTGAGTGGATTGGCACACAAAAGTGGAATATTTGTGCTAGATAAAAGATAAGCCTATTTTCTATAATGTCTTTAAGTTTTATCTTATTCTAGCCACTTGTTTGCATGTAACTAATATTTTTGTACATCATGTTGGTTTTTCCGTGTTAACTCTTTAAGACCCAAGCAACATTGTGAGCGTTGATTAAGAAGTTCCATTTTGCCCAAACACCGCTGTCATCGTCGATCGTGTATTCCGTACATTTTGCTTCTCATACGGCTATGTACTTGCTTCTAATGTTCGGAAGTATGATTAAACTATTCAGGGAAAGTCACTCTGCCAAAATACTTTCCCTATCAGAAACCACACGTGCGTATTTGATCGAATTTACATCAACATTTTTTTGAACAGCGCATTTTCTAAATTTGTTTTCAAGTGCCCTGAATACCAATGTTCCCACCACATACTTGCGTCTTTCTGCGACCGAAGCTCTGAAATTGTTTCAGTCAGATGTTTTTAATTCTGATAATGATAATGAAAATTTAGATTTCTCAAAAAGTGATTCAGGCGGCGATTTTTCACCAGCGAAACCTGAGCGATCAGCTGTTCTGAATCTAGCGATTCGGATGAGTTTTTTTACACAGACAATGTCCCATTGCTACCGTATTTATGGTGTAAGAGAAGGAAAGTGCTCTAAACAAAGAGACAGTACTATACTATGGCTAAGCTACATTGAAATCATCGCAGTTACAGTCTGTTTATAACTGTTCAAAGTAAATAGTGCGAGTGTTATGGCTCATTTTTCCTATGAAATTTTGCTCAGCACTCTGTGAAAACTAAGAGCCCCTGAGTGCTAAACTAACCCAGAAACTTTTCATAACTTTGGAATTTGTTAGGAAATTGAACAAACTTTGAAGTTTTTTCCTCAAATTTGGATATTCACTACTCTTGTGGCTGCAAAATCATGGTAAGTGAAGAATTTGTTTGTAAAATGTTGTTGTTGTATGTTACATTGTGAAATGCCTTTTTGTACATCACACCCTCTGCCATTTTTGTGAAGGGAAATTAATGTGGACCAAGTCTGTCAAAATTCATGGGCCTGAAAGAGTTAAAATGACAATAGTACTGTCTTTCATCTTTCTCTGCTTTCACCCTTAAAATAGCAGTTGTGTTGTGGTTTACAGCTAGGTTGAGCCTTTTAACCTAGCCTATGATTTCAGCAAATCCTTAATTAGTCACTTTTTACAACGTTGGGTCTATTCTTCTTGTCCATAAAAACATGGGGTAATTTACAATAACATATTGCCCCCCCCCCCCTCCCCCAATTTAAAAATACTTCTTTGCGTTTACTGGCTGTAAACTCCAGTAGACAGTCTTTGTTGTTTGTCCACTTCTGGATTTTAGTCTTGTTCCAGAACATGAGTTTCATGTGCATATTCATTTTACAGATCCAACTTATTTGTATGCAGACTGTTGGTTCCTTGCGTCTCAGGCAGATGCACTTTGAAAGAAGCACCCCTAATTAGTCTTTTATGGCATGCTCATTAGGGGGATAGTAATTATTCTTTTTTGCCTCCTACAATAGGGCCCTGGAATCCAAATTGAATATGGTATGGCAACAACAACAAACAAAAATTTGTAAACTATAAAACTAGACAACCAGAGTCTCAGTAACAATTGTGCTACACACTTGGTAATAACATGAACACAATCAAAAAGCACAATACTGAAAAATAAAAAGTTTTCTGTTTTTTTTACAGTTAAAAAAAAAAATTGCAGCAAGCAAGTATCACATGCACTCAAGACATATATGTACAAGACAGCATATAAGATATATTCTCTCATTCTTAACGATGCAAGAGTCACAACCAATACCTAAACACTTCAGCATTCATGGTTTCCATGTAATGTTACAATTAGAGCAACAAAGCCGAGGATATTCCACATCTACTTTACAAATGGAGGTTGAGGCAGTCCCAGTAGCACCTGAACACATATGTTGTGATTGTGACTCACAAAGCATGTGAAGAAAGGTAGAGAAAGACATGCAGAGTAGGAAGCATCGCTTTAGACATCCCCAGCAGTTAGCAGCCTGTGGATCTTCTCTCTGAGGCAAGCAGGTGTGATGGGAAACAAACAAGCTGACAGACTGACTGGGGTTTGGGCCACTGGGTGATGCACTGATGCATGACCAGCTAGATGTGGTCAAGGCCCTTTGGAAGCAAGTGAACAATGTGGAAATATAAACAGTGGAATCACTATAGTCCGGAGAAGAAAGTAAGAAAGAGAGAGAGAGAGAGAGAGAGAGAGAGAGAGAGAGAGAGAGAGAGAGAGAGAGAGAGAGAGAGAGAGAGAGAGAGAGAGAGAGAGAGAGAGAGAGAGAGAGAGAGAGAGAGAGAGAGAGAGAGAGAGAGTGTGTGTGTGTGTGTGTGTGCGCGCGCGTGTGTGGGGGGAGGGTGTTTGACGTGGGGATCTGGCTGACACTCTACACTCAACCGAAGGACAAGACCGGCATACAATCAAACTGCTGCAGGTGCCATCACTATAGGAACTCTTCAATGGCTGCTAAAGATGGGGATGGAATGTCCCAAGTGCTGTCACATCAGCTAATTCAACTCGACTGATACACTATTTTTTACTCTAGGGCATCAAGTCAGCTGCAACAAAATCCTACTGCACAATATGGATGTTTTTAGCCACCTTCCCATGAGGTGGTAATGTTTCATGATCACTAGCCTGTGGTGTAAGACCCAGTGTTTTCACAGAGGCATAAAATCTGGAGGACTTCTTCTTCTCTGCAATCACCTTCTGCAAACTTTGGGAGTTTTAAGTTCTGGTTGTTCACACACCTCTGGACTTAACATCTTTTTCAGAACCTGAGTGTTGTGTGTACATCCGCTTTACAGGTCTGATTCATCTGTATACGGACTGATGGGCAGATGCACTCCGACCTCGAAGGAAACCCCCAATTAGTAGACTCTTACATCATGCTAGCTGGGGGGGGGGGGGGGGGGGGGGGGGCATTGGGTCTATTGTTGTTGTGCCCCACAATGGGGCTCTGGAACCCACACGGGGATCTGGAGGACTGACCTGAAAGGCCAGGTAAACACTAAATGCTCAAAGAAAAGAGAACACTCAGCAAAACTACAAACAACTGACACCAGTATTTTGCAACTATGAACTGGCTGCAAGAAGAGAGAAGGAGGGGGAGCACTAATGGGAATGCCCCTAGTGCTGTGACATCATTTCTACACTTGTAACTCTTTCAGTCCTAAGCATTTGTTTATTGCAGCCCTTGATTCCTAAAGAACTGAACTTACTACAACTTACAAAAGACTGAATGAACTCAACTGAGACACTAAGGTGCATAAGCAGCTAAAATAATAAATCAGGTAAAATGGGTTAATATAACATCTGTCAGAAATAAAACTCAGCAAGAACATTATACAATCTTAGAAATGACCCAGAAACTTATAGTAAATTCTTTGTACTGAAAGAGTTAACACAGACAAAATTTTGCAACTACATCTATATGCCTTTCACTTTAACAAAGCCATTTACAATAAACAACAAGTAACTGTGAAAGGCAACAACTTTCAGTAGTAAACATATACTAACAATCAGTGCTGAAACTACTATCGAAATAATTGGTGAAAGCAAGGCATTTTTTGTTCTATAAAAAATTGACGGTACTCAACACAAAATGTCTACTAAAGTAGTGCTAAAAAAGTATGCCTTAAACAGTACTGTGCAAAGTTTCATACTGCCAGGAAAAAAGGCCTGGGTTGAAGCCAGTAACAAGCATTCAACAGAAAAACAAAGACAAAACAATCATAATCAACTATGCAGAACATCAATGGGAACATCAAGTGTGTGGGAAGCAGCTAGAGTGCAGAAAAACAACTTTTGTGTCAACAACCACAACACTGGTGCACAGACAGCGGCAGCAGCCATGCCTTGATGCCAGCACTCACCAGCCTTGACACTGTGTCTGCTGACCGTATGATGATGGTGATGGTAAGGCGATGATGTGGTGGTGCCAGGTGGAAGGAGGGGTGGTGGAGGAGGAGGGGGTGAGTTAGCAGAAGCTTGGCCCTTGTGTTTCTTACCGTCAGCTATACAATTAAAACAAACACTGACATTATTACAAGAACAAGACAGCTCACAGTTGCTCTCAATGTA